AGGTTGGCCCAGGATCGGACATTGTTTCGTTCTGCTGTGCATGGGGTCGCTATGAGTCGGTTCCGACTCGATGGCACCTGACAACAACAACAACAACGCTTAGGCCCTGTCAAATTTATCTGCTTATGGTAGATGAGGACACTATCGGATTGCACAGTAGTTAGTAGGAAGTAGAAATATCAAAAGAAGAGGATGAACAATGCTACAGGGAAAGAAAATAGATGCTAGATTAGTTGTATGTACAGGCTGTTTGGTGTTGGAAAAGAATATTAAAAGTACCATGGACTGCCAGAAAAATAAACAAGTCTGTCTTGGAGGAAGTACAGCCAAAATGCTCCTTAGAAGCCAGGATGGCGAAACTTTGTCTCATACTTGGGACGTGTTATTAGGAGGGATCAGTTCTTGGACAAGGACCTCATGCTTGGTAAAATGGAAGGTCAGTGAAAAAAAGGAAGACCCTTTTTGTGGGCTTTAGCATAACAGTTGTGAAGATGGCTTAGGACCAGACAGTATTTCGTTCTATTGTGCATAGGGTTGCTATGAATCAGAACCAACTCGATGGCACCTAACAACAACAAGGTTGTATAGGTAAGAGAGGATCAGATTATGGAAACATTTGGAAATCTCCAAGGGAGAAAGATGAAACTGTCTGTTCCTATAAAGCTTTCCTGACTTGGAAACCCTCTGGAGCAGTTCTACTCTATCCTGTAGAATCATCTTGAATCACAATAAACTCTTCAACAGTGGTTTGAAAGTATAGCATCACCATTGTTTCATGTTTGTGATATGATTAGCGTTTCTATAAAGTGCTATTTGGCTACTTTCAGAAGAGGCAGTATGGTATAGGATTCAAGAGTATGACCTTTGGCATCAGACTAGGTTAAAAATCTGTCTCTACCACTCACTTCTAATCCATGTCATCTTGGGCAAGTTATTTAAAATCCATGTACCTAGTTGTCACATCCTTATAACAGGCAAAATAGTAGGGTCCACTGCATAGGGTTGCTATAAAGATTAAATGATATAAATAAAGCAGATGAATTGCTTGGCATGGGCCTGCCGGGCATTTGATAAGCATTCAATAAATGTGTGTGGTATTTTTTATTTTGAAAGAGAAAAATTTATATATAGGGAGAATAGGTTAGAGCCTGTAAATAATTTAAAATGGGTCACAACTTGTATCTCTTAACTAAATGCACAACTTTTCATCTTCCTAATTGTTATGTTTATCTTATTTCTCTATGTCGCTTTCCTTATGTTACAAGGCTCTATTTGAGAACTGTCCAAGACATATTTCTTATAGTCATTATTGTCTGTATTCCTGTATTAGTCCAAATACAACAGGTTTCTTTATTGTAAACAAGAAATATTTTATTTTTTTATTTCTCTTAGAGTTTGATCCTAGATGTGAATCGAAGGAATCCATTCCAAATCATGATGTTTCTAAGGAAGAATCGTCTCTCGATACAATAATGGAAAGTTTCCTAAGGGGAAGTGATTGTGACTTAAGGATGAGAGAATCCTGGGAATGTTATGACAGAGTCGAGGATGATCACAACAGTCAGGAATCTTCACAAGAAACAGTCACACAAAAGAAAACTCATGGGAGTACCAATAAGAATGAAGGATTTGATGGAAGTCTCAGTGTGAGGTCAATCTTTGCCCCTGAAAAAAAACTCTTTGGAAAGAATTTCAAACAAACCTCAGATATAATTAAATACCTGAGAGTCTACTTAAGAAAGAAATCTAGGCGGTATAAGGAATGCAAGAAACCATTCAGTTTCCATTCAGACCTTGTTCTGAACCGCAAAGAACACAATGGAGAAAAAAAACGGAAATGCAACGAAAGTGGAAAAGCCTTAAGTCACTCGACATCTCTTATTGAATATCAGAAGCATAAGAAAGTTAATTTGGGGGATAAATCCCAGAAATGCATTCACTGTGGTGTTGCCTTTACTCGAAGTGTATCCCTTAGTAAGAAAACCCCTAGTGGAAAAAACTCCTCTACATGTGATAAATGTAGGAAAGATTTATGTCAGGATGCAACCTTAAATAAAGATGAGGGTACTGAGTCTGGAGAAAAAACTCATAAATGCAGTAAGTGTGGAAAAGCCTTTGGCTACAGTGCATCACTCACTAAACATCACCGAATTCACACTGGGGAAAAGCCTTACATGTGCAATGAATGTGGGAAGGCTTTCAGTGATAGTTCTTCACTTACACCACACCACAGAACTCACAGTGGAGAAAAACCATTCAAATGTGATGATTGTGGAAAAACTTTTACCTTGAGTGCCCATCTCATTAAGCATCAGAGAGTTCACACTGGAGAAAAACCTTATAAGTGTAAAGAATGTGGGAGACCTTTCAGTGACAGTTCATCTCTTATTCAACACCAGAGAATCCATACTGGAGAGAAGCCTTATACATGTAACAATTGTGGGAAATCCTTCAGTCATAGCTCATCCCTTTCCAAACATCAGAGAATTCACACTGGAGAGAAGCCCTATAAATGTGGTGAATGTGGAAAAGCCTTTAGACAGAATTCTTGCCTTACTCGACATCAGAGAATTCATACTGGAGAAAAACCATATTTGTGTAATGATTGTGGGATGACCTTTAGTCATTTTACATCTGTTATTTACCATCAAAGACTTCATTCAGGAGAAAAACCTTATAAGTGTAGCCAGTGTGAGAAAGCCTTCCCTACCCATTCACTCCTTAGTCGTCATCAGAGAATTCATACTGGTGTAAAGCCTTATAAATGTAAAGAATGTGGGAAATCCTTCAGTCAGAGCTCATCTCTTAATGAGCATCACCGAATTCATACTGGAGAGAAACCATATGAATGTAATTACTGTGGTGCAACCTTTAGCCGGAGCTCAATTCTTGTAGAACACTTAAAAATTCATACTGGAAGGAGAGAGTATGAATGTAAGGAATGTGCGAAGACATTTAAAAGTAATTCAGGTCTCATCAGACATCGAGGATTTCACTCTGGAGAGTAATTCTGGCAATGTAATAAAATGAGGTGAAGGACTTTTAGTCAAAACCGCCCGTAATAGAAACCTAGGAGATAAAATACTACAACATTGGTTACTATTTGTAACTTTAATAGGTTGGCAGTGAAAAAAAAGAAATACTACTTTTCCCATTCATCCAGCTTCTTTGCAAAGATGTTAACTGCTGGTGGACAGTAATTAGAGTTGGTAAAGTCATGTGGAAAATGAGGAAAGTAGTTTGACATATTAAATGATTCTAAAAAGCCAACTTATATTTAAAATCCAATATGGGGGTGGGGGAGTTTGTATATAAGACCACCTTTTAACCTCTCTTCAAGGGTCTAGCTCTCCTGTTACCATGTAGTGTATTGGAAAGAAGACATGACTAGAATTCGATTGGTAACATGATTTCTCTTCCTAGTTGCCAACGTGGCTGTATCCTCCTGGAAAATTATTTGAACGTTCTAAATTTCAGTTCTTTAATAGTGGAATGAAGAAATTGGAGTAATGATTTCTGTGTCTTCCCAAGAGATATTCTCCAAATTTGTGAAAATAAGTTAACTGTTTTAGATTAATTGGAACTTTCAAGTTTCTCTAGCAGAGATTTGCTCTTTATTTTGGTTGCTAGACTTCTGGTTTAGTGAGATTACAGTATACATTGAATATCTGAGACAAGAATCTCTAGAATACTATAAAATGGACCAAGTCTGTCAAACTCAAACTTTGCCTTCAGGGAAAGTTTTAACTGCAACTTCTTATGCTCTGATTGGTTGACGTTGAGAAGCCAGAGGTCTTTCACTTGAACCATCTCAGCCATGAGAATAAGTGAGATAAAAATAGGTGGGGATAGGGTGGGGGAGGTGAGGGGAGATACTGATAGCAGAGAGCTGTTTTGATGGATTCCCTTTTGCAAAATAGGAATTTATTTTTTAAAATCACACGTGTGCCTGTAGTAGTACAGAATCCTATAGTTGGAGTGTAAATATTCTGTATGGCAGAGGTCAGGAGCTGTTGCCTCAGGGTCAGGTTGGAGCCTTAGTTTTAAGTCAGTCTGTGTGTGTGTGTGTGTGTGTACGAGTGTATTGTGTGTGTATGGAGTTAGTTACTACCATTTGGAAAACAGGAAGTTTCATGCTTAAGAAAATCAGGGCTTAATTTGAAAACAAATTCTAAGCACTGACAACACTGGACTTAACTACTGTAGGACAGCTGGTCTTTGGATAGCAGCTGTCAGTTTTAGATGGGGAATGTATTCTGCCTGCCAAATTCTCTTATATAACCTGTCTGGCTTGCTACAAGAATGTGATACTCTTATCTCCTACCACATGGAGAATAAGTATCCATAAGCTAAAGAAAACACTGATAGTAAGTAAAATTCAGGAAGGGAATGTGAAAATAATCAAGAGTAAGTTTTCCGTTGTGAAAATAGACCCCAAAGGAATGGAGGGGTGGATTGTTGCTGAGTACTGTCCAAGTATGTCCAGACCCATGGCGACCCTGTGTGGGATTTCCAACGAGTGACAAGTGGCTCTATGGATTTCCTAGGAGTGGCTACTGGGTTTGAACTGCCAACCTTGTAGTTCAAGCCCAGTGTTTATTCTACAGCCCCACACCAGGACTACATTAGTGAATTAGTCCCCTTAAATCTCATTGGTGGGATATAAATAACAATTTCTAACTGAAAAGCTAAAAGTCCCAAGTGAGCTTCAAGTTATAGAGTTCTGGAAGAACCCCACTGTCAATAGTTCAGAAAAAAGAAGTCCCTAAAACTGAAGTGAGTCAAAATTAACTAAAAGCACCAGACAAAAACAGCAAAAAAGTTGAAATATGAGGCAGTTCCGATAAAAGAATTAATTTAGGATATTCCAGGAACATGAAAATAAAGAGGTCCTTATGCGGATCTCATAGTCAGCAATATTTGCTGTGATACAATGGGTATGGATTTGCCGTGCTACCTCTAGAGAAAGATTGTGGTTTTTTTCTTGTTCTCACCCTACCCCTGCCCCCCAGGACCAAGCTCTAGAGTTCATATAGATGCTGTGTAATAAATTGATCTACACTTGATCAAACACAATCTTACCATGGCTTATGAGAATCATTCCTGATGACTTAAGTTACTTTTCTGAAAAAAAAAAAAAAAATTGATAAAATTAATTTAAGAAATTTAAGCTGCTTCTCTTGAGTAAAGCCTTGTTCCAGGACCTTTAGTTAGGCTCCTCAACTTCTATAAAATGGTGTTTTATTCCCTGTATCAAAGGCGCTCTGGTAGCGTAGTGGTTACGAATCGGGCTGCGAACTGCAAAGTCAGTGGTTCGAAACTACCAGCTGTTCTGTGGGAGAAAGATGAGGCTTTCTGCTCCCGTAAAGACTTACAGCCTCAGAAACCCTGTAAAAGGGTCGCTATGAGTCAGAACCAACTCCATGGCACATAACAATTCCCTGTGTCAGTTGGTAACCTAGAACATAAAGGTTTTGTTTACACAACTTTATTGAAGGATGAGTCACATACCATAAAATTTATTTCAAGTGTACAATTCAATGAGTTTTAATAAGTTTACTGAATTTTCTAACCATCACTATAACCCAATTTAGAACATTTCATCTACCCAATGAGAGTCCTCTTGGCAATTTACAGTTTATCCCATCCCCCCCTCCCAACCCAGGCAACTAATCATTCTGCTTTGTCTTATATAGTTGCCTTTTTTGGACACTTTATATAAATGGAGTCATACAGTGTGTAGTCTTTTGTGTTTCTTTTCCATTAACAGTGTTTTTGAGATTCATCCATATATTAATACCTTATTCCCTTTTATTGAATATGTGGATATACCACATAATGGGTACCCATTAACCAGTGTACCCCGTTTGTGTTGTTTCTACTTTTTTACTCTGATAAATAATGCTGCTTTGAACATTAATGTGTAAGTCTTTGGACATATGTTTTTATTTTTCTTGGTTAGATGCCTCTGAGTACCATTGTTAAGTCATATGGCACGTTTTTGTTTTAACTTTTTAAGAAAGTGCCAAATTGTTTTCCAATGTGGCTGCACTGTATTTTATGCCTACCGGCAGAATATACAAAGAATTGTATGTTTTCTACATCCTCACTTAGACTTCTTATTTCTATCTTTTATTATAGCCATCCTAGCAGCAGAAGTGTTATCTCTTTGTGGTTTTAATTTGAACTTCCTTATTGACTAGTGATGTTAAGCATCTATTCATGTACTCTTTAGACATTCATGTGTTATCTTTGTTGACATGTTTATTCAAATTTTTTGTCCACTTTAAAAATTGGACAAAATTTTTGTCCCCTTTAAAAATTGGGTTAAGAATAAAACCTGTGAAATCCAGAACCTGTAAAAGGCAGAAACCTGTCAGAGAAGGAAAACTCAAACATTCCCACTAAATAGCCGTAGAAAAATGACTGCACCCTGTCAAAGGCAGAAAATGTGAAATTTCCAGAAAAGTAAGGCAGCCCTGCTGAGTTCCAGCTCTCACAGATTTCACTGTATAATTCTTTACTTATTCTAAATAAAAGTCCTTTATCCAGAATGAATTTTCTAACACCATGTTTTAGCTACAGAGGGCAACTTCAAACCCTGCTGTACAATATTTATCAAAAGCTTTGTTACAATAATTTGGCTTATTACCTAAGTACTTGAATTCATTTTTAGGTTAGTAAATTCATCAAAAGCTTGTACACTTTTTTTTTTTTTTTTAAATTTTTGTGAATTCACTGAGGGTTTACAGATATGATCATCAATTTTATGTTCTACAAATTGTGTACTTGGTTTCACCTCAATGATTGCAATCCCCTCCATGAAAGAATAGTTTCCCACTTCCTCATGGTGTTTTCTATTTCCATTCCATCCACCTTCCCACACCTTCCAATTTTATTCTTAGGTAAATATTAACCATTTGATTTTGAATGATTGACCATTCCACGGTGAGCATACCTTACTAGTGTTGTTGTTTTTCCTTATATAACTATCTACTGCATGGCTGAAAATTGAGCCTTGAGGGTGTGTTCATTTTCATATCTAAGTGTGCTCGAGGGCCATAATCTTGGGTTCCTCCACTCTCTTTATGTCCAATAATCCCAGTCTTTTAAAAAATAATTTTGAGTTTTGTTCCACATTTTCTCCCACTCTATTTGGGACCTTCTAATGTCGTCCCTTTCTGGGGAGTTGATCGTGGTAGCTGGTCACCATCTAGTTCTTTTGGTCTCAGAGCCATTAAGATTGATGTTCAGATGTTCCATTAGTTCGTTGAACTAATTGATTCCAAGTATCCTCAGTTCTCATCACTCCTCTTTCTTCTGCACGTGGAAAGAACAATACTTGAACCTTAGATGGCCACTCATGAACGTCCAAAGATCCCAGACACTACTCACCAAAGTAGGATGTAGAACATTGTCTTTGTGAACTATGTTATGCCAATTGGCCATGGTGTCCCCTGAAACTATAACCCTGATAACCCCAGGTCCAATAACTCATTACCTTAAGATGTTTGATATTGTCTAGGAAGTTTTCATTTTGCCTGTTGTATGCCCCACTATATTCATAATTGTGTTTGTAAAGGTAAATACCCATATACAAACATCCTCTGTCAAACCCTTACAATAAGCATTGGACTCAATACAATAAGCATTGGACCAAGAACTACAGGGTCTGTGTTTCAAACCTGCCAGCCACTCTGCAGAAGAAAGATGAGGCTTTCTGTTCCCACAAAGATTTTTAAAAGCCTCAGAAACCCTCCCTGTACAGGGTAACTCTTGAGTTGGAACCAACTCCACAGCGTTAACAACAATAGTAACTTCCACTCTTCCTCCCATACCCAATCAGCCTGTGTTTGTACATGCAGATCACTGTTTACTGTTCCAGTGTTATGTCTATCTCTATTTATTCATGTCTCCTTTACCCCTTATGTACCTCCCTGTCTTTACCTGTCTACTTCATTCTGCTAACCTCCCTCTTCTTGTATATTGCCTACCCCTTCTGGTATGTTGCCCTCAATGTCACCTTAATATAGTTCTACCTCTAGCCAGTGAATTACTCTCC